CGACTTCTATCAAAATGACATATCAGGAAACAAGATGATATAAATGCCTGGACAAAGAGAAGTAGAACTTCGCAGAAGGCTGAAGACATATGCATCAAGAAATAAACGATGAATCGCTTGCCGATCGACACAGTTTTGAAGCAAGAGATGTAGAAATATTTAAAATTAATAAGTATTGCAATTATTAATCTGCATTGTTTGTTTAACAATGGTGCCAAAATTAATAATCACAAATATCAATATCCTTTATCGAGGTTAGAAATTTTACATTTAGTAGCCCAGATAGTTGGATTTTCTATAAATTAAATAGCTATTTTTTAAAAATATATCAATCGAAATTAGACACCTTAAGTAAATATTTATTCCAGTATATATTTTATTTAATTTGCATAAGTGACCAATGATCATTGAATGTTCTTTGGAAAAAGATTCAAAGGCTTTAAGCAAGTAGAATGTGAATAATTCGTTCAGTGATGTTAAATCTTTCCGACGGGCTTTCAATAACCGTTTCAAGCATTAAGCGACTTGAAACGCATATGATATGCGGCGGACACAAGACGCTTTAATTAATCTCGTCCTCAATAAGGCTTGAAGATGAGGAAATCGTTGCTGGTCGTTATGACAGCGATCATTGTTTCCTTATGCTTACTACACTGCTTTCAAAATAATGTAAGCTTCGAAATCACTTGACATTAGTTAATTGGGTCGTAGTTGCGTTCAAGGTACTTTTTATTCTTGTCAGCGAAATGGAATGATACTTAAGATGCCTTCCATTAATATATATATACGTAAGATACCATGGACGCCTAACAGATTGAGAGCTTTAAAATAACTCTGATTATTTAGGATGTGCCAAGCCCATTGTGTCCAAAAGCGGACAGAATTTTATCGTACAAAGTGACAACTCCAAAAAAGCCTACTAAACAGAAAATACTACTTATTTAAGACATGTTATGGGAGATTTTATTAAGTGCACGTAAGCATACAAGTGCGATAGAGTGTAGTTTAGAGGCATTTCTACGTAGTTATACATTTTTGCGCATAAAAGTTATTTACCAAAACAAAAATCAGAGGGAAAGAAGGAAAATCGCACATATTAACTCTATCTGATAGGAATATAAAAATAACACCGCTTCCATCATTAAATTACATTCACTTAGGGGATTACATATAAACAAAAAGAAAGAAAATTTTTAAAATAACGAAATAATCGCAAAAAATGTTTAAGAAAAGAGCTGACAGTTGAAAGCGTATAGGAAGTGAAATCGAGTACTCTAGAAGTTAACAGCACATATAACAGAAAATTGACTGAACGGATTCATGCCTCAACGACATTTTTTACAAATCGCTGTTCGTTTGCATTCATATCTGAGGAAGAGATGGCCTCACGTCAACATTTCTGACTATATTTTCTTAACGTAAGTGGACGCAAAGCCACCGTTCAGATACATAAATTCTACCTTTCTCAACAGAATCTGACCAAAAGTATTTTCACAGCTTAGCTAATTGGTATTCTAAAACCAAGGTGCAACGAACTTAAAGCTCGAAGAAAGGAGAAACAGTGGACAGTGGCACTGTCCGATATGGCCGACTGGCCAAGAATCGAAGCCGTTGCTGAGTTTAGACTACGTACCGGACACGACTGCTTGGCGAAATACCTTCACATATTGGGAGTATACACTCAACCCACATGCCCCTATGTAACCTACATGAGGAAATGGAGAAGACCCACCTGATTCGGTGTCCAGCCCTAAAGACAAGGACGGAAAGCCAGAGATACTGGGAAGCAAGAAGACAGCTAATGAACTGCTATTAATTTAACCCCCCCCCCCCCCAATCTTGAGGCAGGCTGAAGTCAAAGTTTAAGGGCTAATAACCATAATAACGATATAGAGGTAAGATAACGTAATGGCTTTAGGACGGCTTTGCTAGCATTTTAGTAGTATGCTTCTGCATCGCTGACTGTATAGGGAACTTTTGGTGTTCATACCTCTATATTTCATTAGCCGGGGTGTGCGGTAGACTAACCTCCACGTGGAGCACCCTGGGCAACGTATACTCATACGGCAAACAAGTCTATTAACCGGCAGTTGACTTCTGGCTTCTAACTACTATGACCCGACACTATGTCATATTACACCACTCCATAGTACTCATCTCCCGTCTTTTCTACCTTTGTGTCTGCCTGTCTCTTTCATATCTGTGAATCACCCTTCTTTTCCTCACCCTTCGACTTTCTGTTACCATGATGTTCTTTCCCCCTGTGAAGCCCGAAGTCAGCTAAAGGGCTGTTGATAACTATCAAAACGCCTGCCATTTGATATAAATAAATAAAGAATTTATGAATTGCGTTAAGGATTGGATTCGGTAAATAGCGGAACGAAATGGTTTCGAGAATAGACCAATCATCAAAAGAGAGAAGGCCGAAGAGAAGATATAAGCGCCATAACTGAAATTTAGATAATCCAAAAAATGCATTTTTAGATCTGCAACTAACGCAACAGTGAACCTATGGGAAAACTTTTACGATCATTCAAACAGACCTCGTAGCTCATAAAAAATTGTGAAAGCTTGCATTGATTTTCAAGCATTTCATAAAAGACACCCTGCACAACCTACGATTTAAGCTCAGGGAAGCAGAAACTTGAGATGAAGTTACATTCTAGATCATATCAGCTATCAAGATCTAGCGTCCGAAATCAGCCTATCTGCATTCAAATGTGAAATCACAAATTGGGAAATTCAATTATAACCCTCTCACCTAAGCTAAGAATCATAATTTTCCCATTTCTGCACGAAATTGTGGGATTTATGGGGAAAAGAAAATATCAAGTCAACACAGAGATTTATTACATCAATGCACAAGTTGCCTATCTGCCCCACACTACAGCGATTTGACCTTGAAAACTGACCAATTACCTTTGCATAGCCTCATTTAAGCCATAAGTTGCGGATAACAAGGCCGTTTGAAGGCTAACCAATGCCATCTCAACTTTATTATTAATGTTTGGCTCAAGAGCTCCACGCTCTATCTCTCTCTCCCTCTCTTAAAAATGTGAAATTGCTCTTTTTAACCACTATAGAAACTTGATACATACAGGTGCACATGCAATTTTTCACATACATGTATAAAAACACACTTATTACAATATACTCACATACAAAACTGCTAAGATATAAACACTTAATTGACGTAATGCGCCCGAATCAATAACATTTATAAATGTCAAATCATGAACTATTGCATTTTCACCCTTTAACATTAATACTATACTACTCAATTCCATCCTAAGTCACGTGAAATACGCGGGAAGTGCACAAGTGGCCATGGGTTTGATGTTTGAAAAATAATACGTTTAAATTACTCATTGTAAGATCATAAATTATGCTATCGCTTTAAATCAAGTAAATAGCATTACTTGACGCTCGTCAACATGTGGAGGGGGCACACTTAACAAGTGTGCGCATAAAAGCGAATTACCGTTCAACAACTGTGGAAACTTGAGATGGAATTAAAAAGGATTAAAAAAAGCACTTTTCAGGGGGGGGGAAGATTGAGATAATTTGGATGTACAACTGGTAAGCATACCATGAGTAGAGGACTCTAAAAAGACGGTAAATCGTTTAACAATGAATAAAATAATCACTGTAATATCGGAGACACATCAATACAGTGGTGGGAAGTTCAGATTGCAAAGAAATCGAACCTAGGTGTGCTCTATAAAGGAGGTTCGAGGAGGATAATAATACGAAGGCAAAGGCTCAAATGAAATCTTACACCATGTGCGTACATTGTTATAACACAGTTAGTATGCTTTTAAAATGAGAGCTATCCATCAAATCTCTTATGGTGTACACAGATCTAGAATAAGTAAAAAATCGAAACTGTTTCAAAAAAGTTATTTTATTGGGGAATTTTTAATTGAAGCACAAAGGAATGGTAAAGGAAACCTTTTGGATATTCGAAAGGTGGATCTATTTTTAGATAAAATAACATCTGGGCTACTTCAGGCATTGAACTATTTCATGGAAATTCTAGTGGAGGAAGAGGGAGGGGTGGGGTGTGAGAGGAGTAGAAACCCATAATAATTACTACTTCGAAGAGATTGGTAACAAGTTGTTGATTCGACGAGGCAGGAAAATATCCCTTTTGTATTTTGGGATGAAACTAGTCGACGGGAAAGCATACTTTTGCGGGATCTGTGTGATGGTCGGATGATACAATTTCCAACGCATTACTTAATTACCTTGTTGGTAAACAATTAATCAATCTACTTAACAGTTACCCCAACAAACTATTGGGTTACTCTTTTTAGGTAGAACTTTCTCCATCCACTAATCATGCATTTTGGTACAAATAAGCCGACAGTTAATATCGAAAATCGATATGGCCCATTGAACAATCCATCTTGTTGTTATCTGACAGGTACAGAATAACAGGGAATGGTCCATAAAAGGGTCTCTAAGACCCCATATTTCACCCAAGATAAGTGTCCTAAAAACGATTTAGACCCGACAGTTCGATCAAAGATGTGATCGACATAAAGCAAGGGGATATATAAATCAAATGATTTTAGCATCGTCTTTAACTGCTTGAGAAATAATGCCACTATTCGGCTAAAAGCCGAAAAAAGCCTATCTTGTTAGTTTAAACAACATAAATTTGCAATTATAGACAGCCAATAAAGGAAAAATAAGTGTTCGATGGATTTATGATGAGAAGAGGGTAATAACTATTTTCAAGAGAGAGAGAGAAAGGTTTTGTATCTACAGTTTACACAGACGCTACAGCATGTCCAAATTAAGGCCATCATAACGAAGACACAAGTTTGTCATTAAAAATAATTGCATATTAAAGAGAAGTAAACACAAACATGTACGACTATGCACCACTTCAGATCAAAGAATTCCCCAGGGTGTCATTTTGCGATCTGGGCCCGGTCAAGAATCGCAAATAACAAAAATAGCGCACCAACATCTACTTTGCTACTTTTATAAATTCAGTAGAGACATACGAAATTAAAATGCGAGTTCTCCACGTTGATTGGCCAGGGTGAGCAATTTGTAAGTGAGACCTCAAGAATAAATGGTTTTCCTGTCACAACTGTGGTGATAGCTTCATGCTAAAATACAAAGAGGATATTAATCTTCCTACTAGTAGTTATTAAAGTAGCTAATTATTTAAGTAATTCAATTGTCTAACCTTGAGAGAGAGTATACGAGAGGCGACTTCAAAGGGTGGAATTACAGACAATTGTACTCGTTTGGATTGAACGCAACGGGTTAGCGTGAGACTAGATGGAGCCTCTGTGTTATTGCCACTATACACGAGGCAAATTGAGCCATTCGAGCGCCAAGAAAAGACGTTGACGCCGGGAGAGGGCAAGTGGGCCAACATATCGTAATGGGCGTCCACACGCAAACTGCGATCTCCAGCAAATTTAGGACAGTGAACAGAGATTGGACAGACTAAATCGGCACCCTGGGAGATAGTAGAGGCAATTAAGACTTGAGAGAACAGGTCTTCACCGGACGAAGAGGTTGGATTGAGGTTACGACTTGCCATCTGTCCCACAGCTACACTTCCCAAGCGTTGAGGTGCGTCTAGGGGAGTTGCAGCTACTTCCAAAGTGGGGTCATTTGTTCCCCCACCAGCCAGCATTGCGGAAATACTATGAAGCGCAAAACAAGGGTAACGTTGACAAGTAGATTAGTATTCGTTTAGAGACCTAAAATAATAATTAGCTCACGTCAAGTCAGTGATGTCCCTGTCTTCTGTATTGAGGACATGGCAAAGTATCGTATACTTCTCATTACATAACACTGGAGGTGTGTGCCTTAGACTCATCTCTAAATTAGAGACCTTCGGGAGAATCCTAGAAAATGCGAATCCAAGGCAACTCATAAGATTAGCGTTAAATAAAAGGCTGGCAAGCGTTAAGTTCCAATAACACACTCAGCAGATAATTGATTGCTGAAAAACTCCCAGAATGGAGTGAGATTAGAGTTGAAAACGACGCATTCTTCACCATCGATTAGAGGCGAGCCGTTTGCAATGTGAGATTTAATCTCTTCTAGCCGAGTAGTGTAGTTGCAAGCGACCAATGGCAAGGGACGATAATCAAATGTGGAGAGAGCTGCCGACGGAAACCAGCGAAGATAGTAACTCTGGTTAGCGTAGGTGAATCCTAGCTCAATGGTTTCGACCTAAAAAAACACACACACACAAAGGCTTCTTAGTATGCAGGAGGTGGATGTCGTTGTGTTTTTGTAGCTTCACAGAGGGACAGGAACATCAAAGCGAAAAAAGTCGAGAGGGGGGAACAGAAGAGCGTTTTAAAGATGTAAAAGAGACACAAAGGTAGTTGAAAGGTGAGGTGAGTACTGTGAAAGTGGTCGAATATGACATACAATGGGGTCATGATAGCTTGAAGTCAGAAGTCAACTGCCAGGTAATAGACTTTTTTGCCGTATGAGTATACGTTGCCCAGGGTGCACCAC